CAATGAATTAATTAAATTAGTACAAGAGCCAACCCGGCAGAAATAAAAGTACACTGTACCTGCTCATTAGGCTCATGTCATAGTAAAATGTGGTAAAAATAGATGTTATACCGGGAATTTTAGATAACGATATTGCGTATGCAGAAATGATCACAAATCCAATGACGAACAGAAAAAAAAACTCAAAAAATCCAACTATATACATATAAACTTTAAGAAGAGATAAATGGGACAGCATAAAAAATGTGAATTTGACGCCGACAAGAAAGTCTGAATAAAAAGACAAACTTAAATACACACTGGAATATTTTCATGGAAGGCCGGTAAGAAGTACAAACCAACATCATGATACCTTCGGGAATATGCAAGACCAAAGTAAAAAACTCTTAGATAACTGTGGAAATAAAACAAAACTTATAAGGCGAAGAAACCGAATACCAAGACAAGCTTATTGCAAATATATAGAGGACACTACAACTCCAGAAGATAAAAAAAACCCTATATTAAACATAAGAAAATTTATAAAAATGATAAAAATGGAGCAGCACAACTTATAAGAAATGGGAAATCAGAAACGGATCCCGTTGAATAAATAAAGCAACTACAAAATGTATACTAAATGATCATTCCAATCCGGTCTTGTCAACTGTATGTCCGATCAGTAAAAACGAATTCCAACCGAAAAAAAATCATTACTGATTCCAGGAAAATATGCAAACAACGAAAATATTATCATCATTAATGATGGAGTGGAAAATAAATAAAAAAATTTAACCCACACAAGGCGCCTGGACCAGACATCAAACCAATGAAACTGAAAGAACTATAGACAATGAAGTTGTTCCGATTCTAACCATCGTTTACATTGAATGTTTCAATGGGAAAAGGAAAGATACCCGATGATTGGCGAACCACAAAAGGCACCTACACAAAAGGTCTGAAGAACATACAGGCAAACTATAGGCCAATATCCCTAACATTCATCTGTTGAAAAATAATAGAACATATATATAGTCACCAGTATCACCATGAAGCATGCAGAGGCAAATAACATCTCTTATGGAGCACCTGAGATCACTCCCGGTTTTTGGTGGGGTTCGTTTTGCTCAGTCTTTAGTTTTCTATGCAGTGTTTTGTACATGTGCACTGTTGTTTGTCTTTTTGTCTTTGTCTTTTTTTTTTTGCCATGGCGATGTCAGTTTATTTTCGACTTATGAGTTTGAATATCCCTTTGGTATCTTTCGCCTCTCTGTTATACCCTCTCCCAACATTGTTTCAAAAGTAAAATGATGATGTGAAATAGACGATATTCAGTGTACAAAGAAGGGGATGTTCATGTAGCAGAAAACTACAGACCGGTATCCTTAACCTGTGTACTGTGCAAAACACTGGAACACGTACATCATTTTCTGGAGATATCTAAAATATTAACAAACCTAAACCACGGCTTCCGACCTGGATACTCTTTGTATACAACTCAACTTCTGGTTACTACAGAAGATCTCATCAACAGCTAAGTTAAAAACAACCAAATAAACACAACAATATTGGACTGTTCTAAAGCTTTCGACACATTGGGTACCACACGATGAATCACTAAATATGCTGAACAGTTAAAGGATAAACGGAAATATCAACATGTGACTTTCAAACTTCCTCACTGATTAACTGTCGATCCTTGAGGGTAGTGATATAACATCTCAGCAGATATACATGTGGTTATCTTTTATAGTATTCAATATAATTATAAGCAAAAACTTGTAATTTAGTTTAAAAAAATGTCATTAAAAGGGCTAAGGAATCATCTGATGGTGTCAGTCATATTGATTTTTTTTTAAAGTTGTATAACTGTTCCAGTTTCTACTTAACTATTGTAATTCCCAATGATAATCACGGTCTGATTAAAACCAGCCCCCACTATCCACTTGCGTTTGGATTAAAACCAGCCCCCACAATCAACTTGCGTTTGTAAACGCAAGTGGATAGTGCTGAGAGATAGTGGGATCTGGTTTTTAATCAGACTGCAATATAATAGGGAAACACTCATAAATTAGTCAGTTTAAAAAAAAAAGCGTCATTTAAGAACAATAACTCCTATGACGAGTGCTATGAATTTTTGTATACAGAAAGTATATATAGATATTAACTTTCTGAGAATTTTTTCTATCTATTATAGTTTTCGAGATACAAGACATTTAATGCATTTTACTCTGATGTTCTATTTTAGCAATGGGGGCCATGTTTTTTACTAGCTTGGAAAAAAATTATACAACATTACCTAAGAATCATTCACTCCAAGTGTGGTTGAAATTGGTTCAGTAGTTTCAGGGGTGAAGATCTTTGAAAAAGTATATGATGGACAAGAAAATTATTGAACAATCGTCCTTTCGCTATATAAACTCCTGAGAGGTCATCTAATTGTTTCGGTTGTATTGACATTCATGTATAGATTGTATTTTTGATTGTTTTGCTGTTTACAGTTTCTACCTATATACGGTACTCTAATTTTTGATATAATAGGCAAAAACACTAAAATTAGCAAAAATCGTCATTTCACTGGCAATTAATAACTCTTAAAGGGTAATCCAATAGTTTCGCTTTAATTGGCATTTTTGTAAATCTTGTATTGCTGATCATTTTTACCTCATCAGTGTGTCTACCTATCTGGTTTAGTTTTTGAGTTAAAATGTAACTAGAGCTGTCCGCATAGCGGGACTAATACCATTTCTAGATTTTTGGTTTTCAGTCGTTCATTTTTATTTATATAAGAGGACATCTGTATAACTTATATTTCTTTTAATATGTATCCTAATTTTTGTTTTTGTTTTTTTGTACATGAACATTAATGATGTGTTAACTGTCGATACACACATATTTATGGTCTCCCCCCTGTGAATACCACTGTCACTCTAATATAAAATTATATAGTCAATTAAACTATTGTCAGTTTATTGTCTCAATAGTACTGTATGCCATAAATATTGTCTATAATCATTGCCCCTGTGTTAGATTGACACATGGTTACTGGTAGGTCAATCTGAAAGAATTATACTGACCTAGGAACAAAGTCTGAGGTTTGTGCACTAAATTCAGAAATTAAAGGTCAAGGTCAGTATGATGCATTTGAATTCAAAGTTATGTCAATTAAAGCAAATCAGACAGTGTTTTACTATCATAGGGGTCAAAGGTCAAATTCAAGTTCAGAGTGACCAGACTTTAACAGATGACACCAATTTTTAGTGAAATCCATAATCTTTATCTTTTTTATCCAGGAAATAACTAGGAATTTTTATCCATAGCAAACCCCCCAAAAAAGCTGATCCTCATTTTTTTTTAATTTCCCCTAAAGAAAACCCTCCTTAGAATGTTTGCTTTATCAGGATTGTTACCTGCATAAAATCACTAGTGTAATCATTCCTGGTTTAAAAAACACTATTGTAAACATTCCTGGGTTAACAAACACTAGTTAATTTTGTCCATTTTTTTACATAAATTACCTATGAAGTTTTAGTTAATTCAAATATCAAGGTTTAACTATCATAGGGTCAAAGGTCAGAGTGACCTGACTTTGGTATTTAACACATCCCAAGCCCATGATGCAACTGCATACCAAGTTTTGTAAATCTAAGTTTTAAAGTACAAAAGATATGAATCAGACACCAATTGTACAAGGTTTTACTAGTATAGGGATCAGAGGTCAATACACAAATCAAACAAGGTTTAACTAGCATAGGGGTCAAAGGTCAGAGTGACCTGACTTTGGTATTTGACACACCCCAAGCCCATGATGCAACTGCATACCAAGTTTGGTTAACCTAAGTCTTACTGTACAAAAGATGAGCCAGTCACGAACTGGATGAGGTTTTACTATCATAGGGGTCAAAGTCAAGGTCAGAGTGAGCTAACTTTGGTATATAACACACCCATCCCATGATGCAACTGTATACCTAAGTCTCATGGTACAAAAGTTATGCACCTTACACAAATTGTACAAGGTTTTACTATTATAGGGGTCAAAGGACAAAGTCAGAGTGACCTGACTTTGGTATATGACAGTACCCCAGCCCATGATGCAACTGTATACAAAGTTTGGTTAACCTAAGTCTTACGGTAAAAAATTAATGCATCAGACACAAAGCGGGACAGACGGACATGGCTATTCCTATATACCCCCACCCCCTCCAAAACTTTGTTTGTGGGGGGTATAAAACTAGACTAATAATTAACAAAAAATTGCCGTTTACATGCAAGTGCAAAAACACCTTTGGGAGAAATTGATAATTTTGGTGCAATCAAGAAGTAGGAAGAACTTGTCATTTAGAGCATTTATGTCCCTGTAGGATTTTCTCTTTCTATTATAGTTTTCAAGATATAATACTATTAATGCATTTTACCTGTATGTTCCATTTTTAAAACTTTACACTAGATACCCTACGGATCATTCACCTAAAGTTTGACTGAAATATGGTTCAGTTATTTCAGAGGAGAATTTCTTGAAAATGTTTACAAGGATGACAGATGGCGTACAACATCAAGTGAGTGCAATAGCTCACATGGCCCAGGTGAGCTAAATGTGACTTAAAAAATGTGAGCTGATATGAGAGACACAAGAGCTATTCTCTTCCACTGACTATTGCTGAAAACAGTAACAAAATTTCAACCCAGAAAATAAATGAAGAGGGGTAACCATATATAACCTAACCTGTGATTAAAAGTTGGTAAACCACATTGAAACTTGTATATGATCTACTACTCAATACACAATCAAATTCAGAACTAAGCTTGATCTTAGATTTTGTTTATGTAGGAAAGGTGGAATCAGAGTAAAAATTATCAATTTTAAAGATATTATATAAATCTGAAAGATTGCATTTGTTATCTTTAAACTACCTTTTTCCTTGTGGAATTTTGGAACTTAATTCTGAATAGGTGCCAATCAAAGAGACTTCTGCTTGTGACATTCAACAGAGAAGTGTCAGAAAGAAAATTAAATACACAGATAGTTTCTATTATGTTTTATTCAAATATATTAGCTGTAGATAAATAACAAAATGATTTGTATAACAAATCGAGAAATGAGACAAGTAACAATCATAATGATAAAGTAAGACCATATATAATTAGTTATTACAATAAAATCTACAAACATATAAAGTTACTTGAGTATTGTTCAATGGCATTTTAGCTTCATGGTTTTTCTACCATTAACAACCTTGCATGTTGGCAATTTTGAGTGTTTTAAATATGTGTCACAAAAAAGTTATTGTCCAAAATGGTCTTTTATAATACATAATCAGTATAATTCAATTCCAAAACATGAAAATCAAAACCAGACAATCAAAAAAAGATAAACTAACAGTATTACTTTTGTGGTACCATGGTTCATTGAAACAACCAAATTTAATTATATTCACCCCCCCACCCCCCCAAAAAAAAAAAAAAAGATTTTTTTATTTTACATTATTTGTACTGTACAAAATCAAATTTACAAAAAAAAAATGTAAAATGGAAGAGAAGACAATATTTTGAAAAATGAAACTGTAATCTTGTATAAACCTATTCTGATTTTACATATTATTTTCTTGAATAGTCAGATCAATATTCTCTTACAACCAAAACAAATTTATTAAGTTGTTATTAGTAAATGAAATCATACAAACAAAATCTAATATTTAAAAATTATTAAACCAATGTATAATGACTGTAAAATTATGCTGTACAACCTATTTACAAAGTGGAATTAGAAATTTTTATTTGAGCTTTTAGGCAAGTGTCATATTCTATCATCCCGTATTGACCAAAGAAATCAAAATTATAAAAAAAGCCATATCTTGCCAAATAGTAACATGAACTAATGAAAGCTTCTCCGGGTTATATTCATGTGACTAGATTTCATAGTATCTACAATGTATCAGAGGACTAGAGTATGTGTAATCCTTGTTATAAGAAAACAATAAATAATTAACCAGGGGTAGATTCAAGAGAAAGGGGTAGGGGGTGAGTGTGTGTCCCCTTTTTTTAGCTAATATGAAATTTTTTTTTTAATTTCAGCAGCCCATATCCCCTTGCTTATTTTGTCCCCCCTAACCTAATGTGCCAGCACACCATATGTTAACAGTTTATTAATAATAACAAGTACAAATGTATAACAATAAATAATTCTTCAAAAAGTACATTTAATAAATTGAACAATGTAATAGTTTTAAGTCTGACTGTTATAGGGGGCACAAATTCAGCTGAAGACATAGGTCCAGCTATGTCAACTTAAAATGTCTATTTAAATCATGCATATAATGTATATCAACTGTTCAAAGCTGGTATCCAACTATTCATGAATAGGACCACAATATTGGTCTGTATTACTAAAATAATTTAAATTTTAATACAAAAATTATATTAATTCTGCTACTTTTTCATTTTGTTATTAATATTATTGCATTCAATATTTTACCTCCTTTTAAAAGTATTGTTTCCTGAAAATGGTTAATTTGAATAATCTTCGTCAAATAAATTACTTAATTCTTTCAAAAATTTGCTTTTTACTAGACCCACACACTGAAACTGATATTAAATGTGCTGGTAACATGGGCAAAAAACTACAGTAAGACATATCATCATACCCTGACACATTCATTTTAAGTTGCTAAAGGTCACATGTTTAGTGTTGAGGCAGCATATTCAAAAATAAACCTCTTCAAAGATACATGGCTTATTGGTTAGACCCAACAACTTCACACACTCGAGGTGAGCATGCTACCACGATAACCACGGAGATGGTGCAAGAAAATATCAGGAAAATCTAGCATAAATGAATATTAGTGTTTGCCTAACTAAAAGTTTTTCATAAACAAATATACTATGAAAACTTAACATCTGTTTGGACAAACATGATCAAGAGGATGCATCTTACTTACTGCATTCAAATAATGGAGCGCAAATTGAACTATAAACCAAATAACACAAATCTTCATTTGTAAGTATTCTGATATTGATTTAATCAAAAAACCTTTATAGACATATGTTGTTGAAAATTGCCGGAAAATTAATCAATACAGTGTCCCAAGTGAGACAAAAAATGTGTATGCAGTTGCTTAGACAATGTGAAAATCATGAACTAACTAAAGCATGGCCAAGGGGAGGTAATCATATACAGCTTGCAACTTATAGGTACCATTTTTCTAAGCCAGCCAACCATTCACCATATATGAGATGACAACAACAAAAGTACATCCTTGAACTTTGCCTACTTCAAACTACTTTCCTCAGGAAAGTTCCATTAAATTTAATGAATATGATGCATTTTTTATATTGACATTTCTTGTAAAGTCTTTAATTATGTCTAAAGTTGAAAATACGAACTATATAAATAATGTTTACAAAAACATAGGTAATAAAAATGTACAATATTTGCGACAAAAACAATAAAACAAATACAACAACACTAAGATAATATCAAAACTATCTTTGCTAGGAAATGTTTTACATGGCAGTTTCTATACAACTTCTTGATTTATACACAAGAATTCATTTTATTTTACAAAATGTTCCTGGAACAAAGATATACAGTCAAATTTGCATATCATGCAGTAAACTAATGCCTAAAAAGAGACACTGAAAAAATTATCTTTAGCATGGACAAAGCTTGTAATAAACACTTCAAAATAAAAGGGGCAGCCAGTTGCTCATAAGAAAAACATTTAACGTAGTGAAGTAATATTTTACACACACAAATCTGAATTTAAATTTAAGTTTATCGTAAATTACATTCTGAAAAACACTGACAATAACCAGTAGCAATCATCTCTAAGGAAATGAGAAAGATAGCTAATTATTTTTATTTTTTTCACAAATCTCTAAAATTCTTCAGGAAAATGATACTGATCCTTTATTTCTAATTTACATTATGACGTAAAAAACTTGATATCATTTTTTTGTACTTCAGAGATTTCTTTTATTTGTAACTTGTCCTGATGACGCCGATTAGATCGGCGAAACATGTCGACTTAATAAATTTGCAGATTTCTTAAGTGTTGTTGTCAATCTAGTGGTATTTAGATATATTTCTTTCTTTTGACAACCCTGCATACCATCGGTATCCACTTAAGGGATCTTTACCTACACTTAACTTTAGAGGCGTTGGTTCAGCAGTCCTTCATTTATTTCTAACATTTTAAACTTTTGAAAATTCATAACTGTATCAACACATTCCATCTGTATTCTCTTGCTGTTCAGGAAATCTAAAGTTTTGAAGTTCTGAAACACTCATTGCATACTTCCCTAATACTATTGCCATTTTTAGTCATTAACATGATGGTACAATAGGCTTGTTTGCAGTCTTGAAAATAAACACTATCAAATATACAGATATATTTGATTCAACTCTTGGTAAAATGAACAAAAGTAACCAATAAAATGTATATCAGCTCTTGATAAGCATGTTAACACTTAATGTACACAATTCTAACATTTTTTATCAGCTATTATTTATACTAGGAGTTTTCTTTCTAAGTAATGGCTGTCTGAGATCATCTTCAGTGTCATAGTAGATGTTTGTATTATTTTCCTGAGATTTCACTTCACCATTATTAACAATCGGCTCCAAGCGTCTTACTATAAAATGTAAAAAAAAACATGAAGTAAATTTAAAGTGATAAATTAAACTACATATGAAATGTATACATTATAAAGAAAATGTCTATTACAGATGGCTGACAAAAATAATAAATAGACAACACAGTTATCACTAGTTACAATTGGACCAACCATGATCAATATCCAAAATTAGGATGAAAATTTGATTATTGTTTTGTACAGTTTGTTCTTGTGTTGTGCTGTTGCACCACTGTCCATAGTCTGGGGGATGGTTAGGTGCCAGTTAACATGTTTAACCCTGCCACATTCTGTATGTGCTTGTCCCAAGGCAGGAACCTGTAATTCAGTGGTTGTTGTTTGTTGCTGTATATCATATTTGTTTTTCATTTATTGTTTTGTACATAAAACAGACTGTTAGTTTTCTCATTTGAATTGTTTTACATTTATCATTTTGGGGACTTTTATTGCAGTATGGGTTTTGCACATTGTTGAAGGCCAGACAGTGACCTATAGTTGCTTTCTTCTATGTCATTTGGCAATTATACCACATCTTCTTATTTTCATATCATCCATGAAATGTAAGTACTGGTGACCAAATTGCAATGGATATATTAGTACTATTACAGTTTTAAACCTTAAGTTAAATGAGCTTTTGCTAGAAAGCACACAAAAACAATTTCGAATAGTTATAAGCAATATTTTAAACCAGTGTTACTGCTACATTGAAAGCATTTTTTGCTGAAAAACAAATAGATAAAGAGAAGAACAAGTAATTTAAACTAAATTCAGAGGCTGAAATTTACGTGTTTAAAATATTCTGTAGTAAAATAAAAATCACAAGGACCATACATAACCATAATGATATTACGTAAAGTTTGTTGGAATAACTAAATCTGATCCACTTAAGAAGTCTATTACAGCTTTTGAAGAAGACAAAAACACACAAAATGTCCTCTAAATATAAATGAAAGAGATTTATTCATGAATTTACTATCTATGCTAACTAACTAATTAGTAAATTGTTAAATAGCAACTGGAAATGATGAAACAAGTGTTTATTTGATTCTTACAATGTGAAGAAATGATAATTACATTTTTTCTGTCAAAAATGTAGAAAACTATTTGGCAACAGCATGAATTAGCATAAATTTAGTAACAAAACAAAACTAAATGGATAAAATAACCAACGCATGACAATCAACCATGGAATTCATCCAACTAATGCTAATTGGATAAACATCATGCAGAGGAGGATTTAGAGGGTTTTTCAGGGGGCCCGGGCCCCCCTTTTGTGGGAAAAATATGGTTGATTATATAGGGAATCACTGAAGCATGACTGGAGCGGGCCCCCTCTTAGGCAGTCAGTGGGCCCCCCCTATGAAAATTTCTGGATCCGCCACTGTCATGAACATGTATACCAATTAACAGTGGGATTTAATTTTTACTACTAATTGGATAGACCTGCTGTAAAAACCAATAAAAAGTCTCCAAGCTAATCCACCAGGTACAAATACTAAACGCTTTATCTTAAAGATAGGTCATGCTTTTAAACATAAACAAGACGAACTCCACAACCATGGGATTTCCAAACCCCTCCTGATTGGATAAAACATGCATGACAATCGACTATGGGATATCTCTGAACTATCCTGACTGTATAAAACATACATGACAAGCAACTATGAGCTTCCCAAACAGATCCTGATTAAACAGAGATGTTAGTATGCAAATACATGTCATAAGCAACTGTTGGATTTCTCCATATAAAACATGCATTGACATCCACTCAATGGAGCTGTAAAAATATTTACCTGTCAACTACTGTTAAAAACATTTCAAACTTTTAGTTAGTACGACTTTTAAAAAAATATAATCCTGTCTAATGACAATTGAAAAGAACACATAATTTTCAGATATTTCAAAAACCAATCTTATCAAAAAACATCATGAAGCATTTCTCTTGAAAATTAATTGCTTTTATTGTACTTTTTTATTCTATCTTAGTTTCAAGTTATTTTTGTAATAGGTAGAATTAACACATGTCCATTCACTGAGCAACTTATAGTGCAGTTGTTTTTCTTAGCAAATTACTATATTATCTAGGAAAGACTAATACCACCATTGTTTTCCCCCTATTAAAGTCTTTGTTAAATTGGCATTTTTCCAAATATTGTGAAGAATTTATGTTTGTTTCAAATAAAGAAATACTTTGCATGGATAAATTTTCATATGGTCCAATACTACAGTTAAAATTCCACTAAACATTCCATTGCATAAAAGAAAATAACTTGCACTGAAGGTAAACACAGCAACTTTACATCCCTTTTTTTCCTGTTCAAAAGCTTTAGTAACCAGTATTCAGTATGACGATAAATTTTCACTTCTGTTCTTGTACTATGAACAACAAATTTATTTATTTTGTAAAAAATATTTCAGTACTCCGAACTACAAAATTATTATTTGTAAATTTACCTGTGTACGTTATTTAATTTAACGCCATTTTTTCCAAGGTTATAGTTGTCTTTTGGACATTGTTTTACATCTCCCCCTTTTTTATTATTAATATTGTATTTATATTGTGTCATAGATCAAATTTATTCGTTCAGTTTATTTTTACTTGTTTTTGTTAATATGTCTTTTTGATTGAGTTAAGCCATTTCAACTGATATTTTATAGTGTGTCTTTCTATGTTGTAATGTTACAATACTGTTCCAGGGTGAAGGTTGGCACCTGTTAAAATGTTTAAACTGGCTGCATTTGTTTGCACCTGTCCTAAGTCAGGAACTTGTTTTTCAGTGGTTGTCTTTTGTTGGTGTGGTTCATAAGTGTTTCTCGTTTCTCGTTTTTTATAAAGATTAGACTGTTGGTTTTCCTGTTTGAATTGTTTTACACATCATTTAGGGGCCCTTTATAGCTTGCTGTTCGGTGTGAGCCAAGGCTCCGTGTTGAAGGCCGTACTTTTGACTTATAATTGTTAACTTTTTACACATTGTGACTTGGATGGAGTGTTGTCTCATTGGCACTCATACCACACCTTCTTATTTCTATTATGACTCAGAAAAATTTTTCTGCAATGAAATGCAGTTTCATATTCCTGTCAAATTCAAGGACATTTTTTCCATCCTATTTTCACATGAAACTGGATGTTTGGTGGTATTGGGGTAGACATATGTTAGGGGAGATAACTCTTTAAATCAGAAATGCGTTTATAATTAGTTTCATTTACGCTCTGTAAGCTTCCATGTGAAACAGAATCAAAAATAATCTGTGTTTCTTAAAAGCTAAGTATATATCTATGAAAATGATATGCACAAACATATAAGTGATTTTTTATAGAGTTAAGTAATTTGACCTAGGTCTACCTCCTTAATCGATCTGTTGGTAAAAAAAAAAGACATTATTTATCAACTTGCCTAGGTACCTAAGTTACTTGTATACATGATTGAAATCATAAAAGGCATGATACTTACAATGTTTTTTGCGTGTTCCTAACTTTGTAGGTAGCAATGTTAATAAACCTACAAATGCCACCACTGCTACACTGGCAGGTACAAAGGCTAAGATGGTTCTGTAATATTCATTACAATGTGGACAACATGCTCTGTAATAAATTATTACATTTATTATAAAATAAAATAAATTATGACATTTCTTATAAAATGAAATAAATCATGACATTTTTTATAAAATAAAATAAATTATGGCATTTCTTATAAAATAAAATAAAGTATGGCATTTATTTATATTATAAAATAAAATATCATAAATATAATAAAGATAAAGACAAGTTTTGATTGACAGCTTGATTGGACAAAATCTTGTGAATGTTAAGAGAGAATTCAGAAAACTAATTCGGCCATTAGCACAATGCTGACAGCTTACACTTTATAAGCATTTTAGAACATTTTTTTATCAATCAAAAGTGAAATCCTGAAGTCTTTTTGGCACAAATAAGTTTTTAATTATAAGTTGCACTTTGTTAAAACAGCTGTTTCACAAACCACACCTCTTTTGGGGAGATATTTAATATTACCTACTGGTTCCCAGATATGATCTCTGTTTCATCTCATAGAGACACAACTTGGGAATTTTACCAGTATAAATACACATGGATAGAGACTAAATTGAATTCCGAGAAAGACCCAAAAGTGAAGGGAGGGGTAGTACATAATTTTAGTACAAGTTTAAACTCTTAGAAGTTTGAGGCATATAAATGTTGAAATTATGCCGCACAGCCCTATGTTTTGACCTTTGGAAAAAGTAGTAGTGCATATGAGCTTTTGATTCTAGGATATAATTTTTAACGAAACTTCATAGTAAAAGTGGCAGAGTTTTAGGTTTTAAATGAGTTCCTATGGAAAATTGCTTTGTCTATATTTACAGAAGTGCAACCTAGAGACTGTATTGTTTGTTAACATTGTACATGATGTCAAAGATGATCTGTATAAAAATAAATACAATCAGCTTTCTGTGTGTTTAACCAGAAATTACGTAAAAAGGTGATTCTTAAGAAAGTAGCAAGACCATAATATAGAAGTAGTACAGGTTCCAGAAAGTTTTAATATACTCTATATATATATAAGAAGATTTGGTATGAGTGGCAATGAGACAACTCTCAATCCAAGTCACAATTTGTAAAAGTAAACCATTATAGGTCAAAGTACGGCCTTCAACAAGGAGCCTTGGCTCACACCGAACAGCAAGCTATAAACGGCCCCAAAAAATGACTAGTGTAAAACTGTTTTCATTTATCAAATAATCTGTAAGTTGTTGCATTGTAAAGATAATTTTGTGTATAAAACTGTCAGTAAATAGCAGAATGAAAATGATTTCTCCAAAATAATACTCAATTTGATCTTACAGAGTTAAAAGTTGTTTGCCTTTTCCTATACAAAGATCCACAAGACTAAATATTTGCAGTGTATGCTTTAGTTCAGAACTTACGTGCAAGGATGTAAAAACTGGATTAATGTTACAGCAATGCCATTTGATAATTTATCTGTAAAACTCATTGATCCATATACAAAGCCTCCACTTTCCTGGAAGAGAAAATCAAAACACTTCTACATTAGCAAAAATACCTTTAAAAAACCTTAATTCACATTAAACGAACATCTTATTATTCTTTTAATATAAATGAAACACAAATAAATACTACTACTAGGGGATGTTTAACGACCTTGACTACCCATGAGGGTCTCGCACTGTCGGTAAATAAATACATAAAAGTAAAACCACAGCAATTAGATTTTCTGACACTTTGATTTTTGGAGACATAATAAACGGCAGGTAAGCAACTTTTTAATATTTACTCATAAATCAAAAGTTGAGAAATTTTAGAGTGAATTCTAATTTTGATAAGATATTTCCTCTTTCATGTCTTTTTGTGTAAAATTGTTTTATGATTAAGTGCTTATTTCTAAATAAGTATTAAAAAGTAAATGAATAGATTTAACATTAAAAACAAAAAAAATAATGTTATTTTTAATCATTCTCATTCAAATTTAAGGCTAAAATTGTATAATCTGTATATTCTTCTTTCGATCAAGTTATACTGTTTTTTTTCACAATGTCTTCATATAAATTTAATTGTAATTCAAATTCATGTCACATCTTTGATTCTCAAATGCCATAAGCTGTCTGATAATATATTGAGCAAATGATGTTAGTAATTCCTTACTGTGTTTTCTCCGATCATATCAGCAGTCATAGAAAGGGAGGTAACCAGCATTGTCGATCCTCCTATTCCCAGTAAAACAGCAGCACCATAAGTTTGTTTGGATGTTGATTTCTCTAGGAAATACATCCATATACAGGCTGACACACCAAACACAATCCCAACAAAATATGTTGCCTGTAAACATATTGTGTTTGAAGTTTTTTTGGAAGTTTCTAATATTTATAAATAGGAAGGATATACTGTGAATTTATTCGGCCTTCTTTTACTTTAGGGGTCCTAACCCATATAGAGCTATACTTAACTATCCTTAACTCCAAACCTGACTCTGACCCATACCTAAACCTAACACTAGCTCTAACCCTAAAACCTAACCCTAACCTACAACATCCCCTAACCTAACCATAATCATGAATGAACCCTAACTCTAAAAGTATAGGGACCCTTACAGTAAAAGAAGGCCATTTATTCAGTATCATTGGTGAAATTTTTTAGACAACAAATTTATACTATTGTAATCTCTTCCCTTAAACAGATTAAAATTAGTGCATTTTTAAACAGTTCACGCTGTCAATCAACCATTTACATGATTTAAGGATAAATATTATACCCTCAATATAGCAATCTATAGTAATCTATAGTCTTTGGTGGATGGTTGTCACATTTGCAAATCATACCACACCTTCTTATTTCTATATTAGTATTTCATGGCCTATCTTAAAGATAGATCTTAGATTGGTCTCAGGTGTAAGTTTGAGTTCAATGTATCGGCAGTTGAACTTCTGGCTTAATAAGTATCATTTGCATCTGGCATGTATAGGCCAATTGGAATGGGATATTCAACCGACATGAATGTGGAAGGTTAAGAAGGTTTGGTTATAGACATAGGTCATGGTTCATTTATAGTTGTATGTTCATTTGATATGTGCAAAATTATTCAAAATATGTTGGTTAGGTGAGGGTTTGGAAGTTCCTTCTGTAACCCTTCAGCACTCATTTGTATGGAATAGCTCAATATTTGGTAGTCATATTTCAGAAATGTCAAACTAAATTAATTCCAATTTAGTAAGTCAAAGTGGACAGCAGTTCTTTAGCAGTTTATTAGCATTCACAGTTCTTACTTGACAGCTGTTCTTTAGCAGTTCATTAGCATTCACAGTTGCCAAATTCAAGGCAATAGTTAATTTGCATATAGGCATTCCAATAGCATTCCACAGCAGTTTCTTAGCAGTTTATTTAGCCTTCACAGTTATTAAGCAGTTATTTTTGACGAAAAATTTAAATGAGATACTCAAAAACTGCTATCTTCTCTGAATATTCATGAGAACTGCTATAATAACAGCTATCAATAAAGAATATTCATAGAAACTGCTAAGTTGTACATCCTAATATGGTTTTCTAAACTGCTAATAACTGCTATGGAAAGCTATCAGATCTGTCAAAAGTTGGAATACAAAGGTACATGAATAAACTGTGTACAAGATATGAATGCAAAAATAAAATATCTAATTTTACTGTAAGTCTTGTTGAAATTTCAAAAATACATGTTATATTTGTAATTTGAGCAGTAACTGCAATCAAATTACTCTATTTCAATCCAATAACCGACTTGTTAAGGGTGTGTAAACAATTTTTTTTTGAGTACCGGTACTTTAACTGGCCTTAGAATAGACCCCTTATTAATTATGGAAGTGGCTGAATAATAAGAACAGTTAAGAATGCACTTTAAATATCAGTGCTTTTAAAAAGCAACTTATTCAATAAGAGTGGTTACTAGATTATAATAACTATTAATTACCTTGACTAAGTGATTTTCAGATTAAAAGTTATTTCTTTTTTATTATTATTTAATTACCAAATGTACTACTAATTTCTCTCTATATACAATATACAAACGATATATATTTTTTATGTGGACCAAAAGACAACAGTTATCTCCTCTTTCTCTTTCGGATTTAAATAAAAGAAATCTTAATACATGTAATATATTATGTTTCCACTTTCTGAATCAAACCTAAGTAACATATATTAACTTAATTAAATGGATTGTTTGGTCAATATTAACCAATCAGCTATTTGCGGCCTAGTTTTCCCTAATATTCCCTCCCCCTTTTTTCAACTCTTGAATATGATTCATTTTTCGTTTTTTTACAAAATTTTATTAAAATATTCATATTTTCATTTTCATAAATAACATATTGAACTGTAATTATATGCTAGTATTTTATTACAATCCTGTAAACATCAGATATTCTATTTGAATAAACAACTATCCCCCTTTTTTGGGACTTTCTGTATGGTTTCTGTTTTCCCCTACAAAGTTATGTCAGAAAATTCACATGCATTAACTGTAACTTCAACTTACTGTACTGCAGGTGTGTGAAAGTATTCCATTTAGCCTAAACTAAACCTTATAATTGACAAAAATATAGTTTTTCATTAGCAAGCATTTACACACAGCTTGGAGCCAAAATACACATTTGAAAATGATCAAATAATCTTCAAATAAAGGTTTACTTTCAAGCTGAAAATACAGCCAGATCCAAGCATTTTTATAACAGAGATTAAAACCAAAACTGCTATCAAACTGCTATTGAACTGCTGTCATAACTGTTGTCCAATTGACAAATTGACAGCAGTTTTAGAAGGTATCCAAACTGCTAAGATGAATGCTAAGATGAATGCTAAGAAATGGTGAAATAAGGCAGTTTTTCAAAATTCTATAAGATGGACTGCTAAGAACAGCTGAAAGACTGCTAAAAATATGAAGAACTGGTAAATAACAGCTAAAAAACAGCTAATGATAGCAGTTCAATTTGACTTGGGTTAAAGTCCAATGACAGAATTCATTAGCCCTCATTCTGTTTTATTCGCTTAAACCTGTAGGTCCTGACCACTAAATTTCATCAGACCAATCAGTTTAACATTGTGCACTGGTCTTATCCTGACTGTTATGTACTGATAAATAGAGTAACTGTGGTACATTGTTGTGACAAAGGTAGTTAGTCAAATCATATGGCACTGGTTTCAAGTTTAAACTGTAATATTTGTCATCAGAAATAATATTAATTTTGGAACAAGTTAAAGTTGATTTGCTTTGCATAGGGTACTATGTCTGACACAAAAAAAATGAAGTTTCACAAACTTTGTTCATTCAATCTATTTCATAAGAATATATTTATGTGAAGTCAAAGCAAAAGTTTCTATCCTTCCTAATTTTTTTACCTTTCTTCCTATTTTCTTATTCATTGGTCTCATAACAAGTGATGTAAAAAATCCACTGACATAAACAACTAAAGGCATTACAGCTACATTGTCCTATAGATTATACAAAAGAAAGTTCACGGATTATTTATAGATATTGAGTCAAGAGTTTTCTAATATAACATTGTAATACTGAAGTAGACTGGCTGCTGTTTAGATTTCATGGGATATATTTAGATTCTACCACTGCATCGAGTGTGATACAATATTTATCCACTAGAGACAGTTAAATTTTCAAATTTAAAACGCGAGGCTTGCCGAGCGTTTGAAATATTTAAAATTTAACTGTCGAGAGTGGATAAATATCGTATTACACGAGATTTGGTGGTGGAATCTGTTTCTCTAATGATTTTCAAACAATATGCAGGCAAACTTATTCCGTCTTTTCGAATGATCTGTAAAAAGATGTGTTCTTTCTAGGTGACGTCATCAGGCATGGTTGCCTTTTTTCATGCCGTCACAATAGGAAATTCAGAGGAAAGCAAGTAAATTCGACGTCATAATTGGATTTTAACCAATGAAGAACTGAGATCAAACGAACCACACGTTGATTAAATTTTTTTATACAATGGGTGCAGAAAGGGATAAATTGACGAAGAATTAGAGAAAATCTTTTATTGATGCTTTCAAATCAGAAACCGATTAGTTATTCAAGATATATACTGTGTATTTATTACTATTAGTGGGATACCAATCTTCTATGTGAGGAAATTCTATGAGACAGTATTGTTGAAACATTGTTAGAAATGTATTTTATTTTGAAAAATATTCTTCACTAAGATTTTGTATATGATTAATCATTCCTTCATCAGGATATATCTAATTTTAGAGGTTTATTATCTACTTAAATATATATTACCTTTTCCATTTCCAATGTTTCTGTGATATAAAGAGGCAGGTAAATTTGTGATACATTTACAAATAGTCGTGTGCACATATATATAACAGCAATCTAACAAAAGAAAACAAAAGCATTAAATAAATTTAGTTTGCCTCAACCAAATGTTATGAAACTTATACACAATGCTTATTACCACAAAACACAGATCAGGTTTGAATTTTGGTGGTGTCATTTTTACTGGTCTAAGAGTTATGCCCTTTACAAATGGAAAAAATGCTGAATTTTTCATATCCGTTCTCGAACTTAAGTTTGCCTCAACCAAATGTTATGAAACTTATACACAATACTTATTACCACAAAACTCAGATCAAGTACAAATTTGGGTAGCGTCACTTTTACTGTTCTTTAGTTATGTCCCTTTATAACTTTATATGATATGCAAGCGGGGGCATCATGTGTCTCATGAACACATTCTCCATATATTATTTTTTGTAGAGAATGGAAACCAACTTTGGGACGTAAGGATGGACGGACAAGGGTAAAACTGAATGCCCCCTCCGCTACGGCGAGGGCATAAAAATAAAGGCTAATCTACAATAACAAAGTTACCCTTGTTTACCAGTTTGTCAATAAATAGTCATCACTGTTATCAAAAATGTTCAATAAGCATGATAAGTAGAGTAAAACCTCAACACATTATTCTATAGTATAAAATGTAGATCATGATACTATAAATTCAGAAATTATTGAGTGCATTTATTATTGCTATATTTGAAGAATGGACGATTTCAATTATTGCGATTTTAGGATAAGCTACACAAAGCTATATGTACAAGATATCAGAATGCGAGTTCTTATCATTGCGATACTCAAGGAGTCGCATTATTTGCAATAATAAAAACCTCCCAATAATTTCTGAATTTACTGTAACCTACTTTTGAATTAAATCTGTCAAGACAGCTATTTGATTATCTGCTTCATGGTATTTGACAACTGAACTTGAATATAAAATCTAGTTCTAATTTTATCAATGAGGCTGGAAATATACCAGTACATCTACTTATGATGAGTAGCTTTCAAACTCTCCTGTATGCTGAAGACTGAAGTCTCTCTATTGTGACTTTCACCTCAGGTGAGACAAAAATAGATAGCTGATATACACTTAACTAAACATTAGGAAAGAAAAACATTAAACATTTTACCTGATAAAACTGAATTTCTTTTAACCAGCATTTCCACGTCATTAATATTTTCTGAAGCATAGAAGCTTCGATGGTAGAAACTAAATTTTCTGATGATCCAGGTTCCTCTCCTACAAACTCTTGATTACATTTCACTTTCTCCCTAACAACCATGTGAAATATAAAACTAAAAACTATCCCTATGGCTACTGCAATGAATACAAGATTCTACAAAAAAATATGCGTTTTTTTATGAATACTGATAAATATAAGCATATTGTTATCTTAAACATTTAAACAAAACAAACAAGATGTACCATGAGCTTTTGCTCACTTATCATACCCTAGCATTTATCACTAAGGTATGACTTGCAGTTGCTGAGGAAAATATGATGAACATTTCATATATACAAATATGACATGTGTATGACATTTTAAAGATATAAGTATTTGGCAACGAAGAGAAAGAACTGAAATATGATATGATTATTGTGTCACATGGTATGGCATTCCCGGTAAGTAGATGAAGTTTGTGTCATATACCACGAAGCTACATGTATGACTTGTACCTTCTGAGAAAAATGTGATGAAAATACATATGTGTGAATGTAATTTTCAAGATATTACTGAATGAAGAACATTCAAGGCACTGAAAACTTGTCACTTGGTATGGTATTACCAAATGAAGCTTGGTGTCATATATCAAAAAGATATGAGTTGCAGTTGATGGAAAAATGCAACAGAAATATGTTCCAGACAGAAGAACAGAGGTAAATCAGCATACCCCGTACTTTGAAGTAGGGTCATTACAACAAAATTACACCAACAGACAATGTTTTATAGTTAATGTATTAAAACAATAATTATAACTTAAGCTAATATTTATTGCAGACAAGAACTTCACCAGCCAAACTTTCAATCAAGTAAATTTTTCTTTTGACACTCTACTTGAATTCAGTAAAAGCAAAGTTCCTTCAAAACTTGGTATAGACATCTCCCAAATTTAAGACCTACCCTTTATCAATCAATGTCTATGTTGTTGATCATTCAATGATTAAAGGTTAACGACTTGTTGTTTGTTCTATTGTCTAGTCTTATAATTTGTTTATAATTTTTATTTTTCATGTTCTATAGTTATCTGGTCTCTATCATCCATCAATTGTTATGTGGCTTAAGGCCTAAAACTAAACAATTGCTGAAAGATTTAAGAACCTATCACTGTCTTTACAGTACTAAACCTACCCTAAATCTACCACTATCTGTGTGGTCTAACATTGAAGCAGTACTAAACCGTACACAAGCATCGCACAAGTTGGCACTCCGAGGCGGGTGGAGCAAGAAGGTGAACTGTGGTTTATTTTTATCAATAGTACCACTTAAGTCGACGCTAGGGGCCGTCTTGATCTTGTTGTAGGGTATGAATGATTCGTTCATTGTTGAAGACCATACATCAACTGTCAAGATGAAGAACTGGAATAAAAGCCCTGTTCATTGATAATTTTCTATGTTTTCTATGTATTGTGTGCGATTTTGTCCCATGTACATTTACTCCATATCCTTTCATTTTCTACCCTAAATCTACCACTATCTGTGTGGTCTAACATTGAAGCAGTACTAAACCTACCCTAAATCTATCACTATCTGTGTGGTCTAACATTGAAGCAGTACTAAACCTACCCTAAAGCTATCACTATCTGTGTGGTCTATCATTGAAGCAGTACTAAACCTACCCTAAAGCTATCACTATCTGTGTGGTCTAACATTGAAGCAGTACTAAACCAACCCTTATAAAAGCTATCACTATCTGTGTGGTCTAACATTGAAGCAGTACTAAACCTACCCTAAATCTACCACTATCTGTGAGGTCTAACATTGAAGCAGTACTAAACCAACCCTAAAGCTATCACTATCTGTGTGGTCTAACATTGAAGCAGTACTAAACCTACCCTAAATCTATCACTATCTGTGTGGTCTAACATTGAAGCAGTACTAAACCTACCCTAAAGCTATCACTATCTGTGTGGTCTAACATTGAAGCAGTACTAAACCTACCCTAAATCTATCACTATCTGTGTGATTTAACATTGTAGCATCTTTGTTCCCATCATTCAGATCAAATAACAACCAAAACACACCAAATACTATTAAATTGGATATAACTGTAAATGCATATCTGAAAAAATTAAATAATAAGCACATTCAACATGTTTAACAGTAGTCACCACCAAAAATGTTTTTCAGAGGTTCTAAAAAAAAAATTCTTATGCAATTCATAGTTTCTCTGACCATGCAGTTCACCTTGTCTAGGCCAAAAAATATATATATGTCTGTTTAGGGTTACATCATTCAAAAAAATATGGTAGGTAGGTCAGTATTTTCATTTTATTTATTTTTTTTTTCATTTCATTTTTTGCAACATAATTTTGAGTTATGTGGTCCGTTTTTCCATGGTTCGAGTTGTCCATTGGCCAAATTAACCTGTATCTTTAATGATTGAATTATTTCCCTTGGTTTTTGTTGGAAATAAAATGGCGGCAAAGTGAATTTTTCATCACACTAGTCGCCAGTTTCCTTAAAACAGCTATCATAAGCATGATAATGAACATTGGGATGTCTACCTATGCTTTTGAGACGAGTTCATTTAATCTTTCTCCTTTACAACGGAAATAAAATGGCTTAGGGTCAGTGATTTACTGATTTCAAATAAGGGACGGTCGGGGAACCCTAAACAGACATATATTATTTTTTGGCCTTATAGCTAGATTCATTGGTTGAAATTCAATTACATGAATTATGACACTAACTGTCATGCTTGGGTCAGATTTTGTCATTTCAATAAAATTGTCCCTGTCTAATGATGGCCCACAAAAGGAATGTAATCATCTATATAACCTAGCACTTTCTACCACTATTACTGCATCTGAAAGGATATAGCATTTTCCATTCGAAGTCAAATTGTTAAATTTCAATTATTTGAAGCACATGACATGACTTTTATCTCACTGGATGTAGAGATAAAATCTATATTTATCCTTGAATAGTTTATAAATCAGATGTTTGATAAGCAGGCAGAATTGATTGTTCCAATTACAGTAGATTTTCCTCATTGTTGAATGCCTTACAGAGACAGGTACACTAGTAGTTTACATCCCTGTCCATCAGTCTCTGGTCACTGAATAGATTCGTGTCATTGACAATCTTACCATATCTCCATATTTTTGTTTAAATAAGACTTTAAAAAATTCAGATGAAGACTCCTTATATGTTGCTCCTACCAGTTAGAACTCAGTCCAAAATTAGATAATGGGAAAGAATGCCAATTTAGCTCATGTTTTGCAATTGGAAATTAAACCAGTTAACATGGTTAAGAACAAAAATTAAATTAAAAATATATTATGACATTAAGGACAGCATTTTCTGTATTAATTTATTTAAATCCAGTTGCTAGTTTAGGAGGAGTTGTAGTTCGTGGATGCTTTCCCCATCATGTAGTCTACACCTGAAGAAATAGCAAAGGACAGTGTCTTAATATGAAAAACTACAAAATCAATAAAATGCTTCGCTGGGGCGCAGCTTGATACGACCGCAGAGGTCGAACCCTGAACAGTTGGGGCAAGTATGGACACAACATTCAAGCTTGATACAGCTCTGAATTTGGATTGTTATAAAATATTTGACACAGCATAGGTTTCTGACACAGAAAGAATGTGGTCTAAGAACTTGAATTTTTTTAATTTACCTATTATGGTCCAATGTCCAAAATCAAAATACATGGTTAGATTCAGCATATCAAAGAACCCCATATATTCAATTTTTGTTAAAATCAAACAAAGTTTAATTTTGGACCCCAACTTGGACAAACTTGAAAACTGGGCCCATAATCAAAAATCTAAACACATGTTTAGATTCAGCATATCAAAGAACCCCAAGAATTCAATTTTTGCTAAAATCAAACTAAGTTTAATTTTGGACCCTTTGGACCTTAATGTAGACCAATTTAAAAAACGGGACTTAAAATTAAAAATCTAAAAACACGGTTAGATTTGGCATATCAAAGAACCCCAATAATTCAATTTTTGATGAAATCAAACAAAGTTTAATTTTGGACCCTTTTGACCTCAATATGAACCAATTTGATAGCGGGGCCCACAAATAAAAAATCTAAATTCATGGTTAGATTCAGCATATCAAAGAACCCCATATATTCAATTTTTGTTGAAATCAAAAAAAGTTTAATTTTGGACCCCAACTTGGACAAACTTGAAAACTGGGCCCATAATCAAAAATCTAAACACATGTTTAGATTCAGCATATCAAAGAACCCCAAGAATTCAATTTTTGTTAAAATCAAACTAAGTTTAATTTTTGACCCTTTGGACCTCAATGAAGACCAATTTAAAAAACGGGACCCAAATTAAAAATCTAAATACATGGTTAGATTCAGCATATCAAAGAACCCCATATATTCAATTTTTGTTGAAATCAAACAAAAGTTTAATTTTGGACCCCAATTTGGACCAACTTGAAAACTGGGCCAAAAATCAAAAATCTAAATACATGTTTAGATTCAGCATATCAAAGAACCTCATATATTCAATTTTTGCTAAAATCAAACAAAGTTTAATTTTGGACCCTTTGGACCTTAATGTAGACCAATTTGAAAACTGGACCCAAAATTAAAAATCTAAATACACTGTTAGATGCGGCATAACAAATGAATAAATGTGATCAAAGATTTTACAAATCTAATGCGCCATACTGTGCAATTAAAGATTACTTCTTGAAATTTTTCAATATTTGAAATTTGAAAAAAAAAAAATATTTGAAGAATAATTCTTTTTAATTTCTGAAATCTGAAATGAGAAAAAATTGACCCCCCACAATTTCTTTTTATCCCCCCCCCCTTTTTTCCCCCAAAAAATTCTTTCCCTCAAGATATGGTCATAATCTCAATTCAAATTTCCAATGGAGTTGGCAACCATAATTACCCATTTAAATTTACCATAGTGCTAACTTAATCTATTTTATAATAGAATTAAAAATATAGTGTCAAATCTTTCATATGGATTTTTTGGTAAAAAAAAAAGATGCAACATTTGCAGATATTTTTACTGGTCTTCCTTTATAAATATGCATTTCTTTAAACATAATTTAAAAGCAGTATAAGGGAAGTAACCAAAACGTTGTATTTGGATTACCTCCCTTACACTGTTTTAAATTATCTTTATTGTTCATTAACCATTACTTTATACATAATTTAAAAGCAGTGTAAGGGAGATAATTTCAATGATGTATTTGATTTATCTCCCTTACACTGCTTTAAATTATGTTTTGTACTAAAGTATGTGTCCATTAACCAGGACAACCTTGTTTTTCCCCCTTTTTGGCCCCTAATTCCTAAACGGTTTGAGCCATAACCCCCCAAAGCAAATCCTAACCATCCCTTTGTGGTATGGAAACTTGTAGTATAATTTCAGAGAGATCCATACACCGTTCCACAGTTATTGTCTGGAAACTAGAAAATGTTTATTTTTGGCCCCTTTTTGGCCCCTTATTCCTTAACTGTTGGTACCATAACCCCCAAAATCAATCCCCACCTTCCTTTTGTGGTATTTAACCTTATGGTCAAATTTCAAAAAGATCCATTCACTTAAAGTAAGAGTGCGAAAACCAATGTGTCTTCGGACGACGACGCCGGACGACGCCGACGACGCCAACGTCATACCAATATACGACCACAAATTTTTTTTGCGGTCGTATAAAAATGATTCTGATTAAAATATGAAATACAACCACAATTTCAAAAGGCAGAGCAATTCTTTAAGTTTTAATAAAACTATCTAAGATCCAGAAGAAGCAAGTATTTAAAATGATGTTTGACACACCCCGCCCCAACCTTATATAAATCTGCTTTAATAAGTTAAGATATAAAAATTTGCCCGCCCCTGGCTACTCAAACGGCTTTAAAAATGCAGCATAAGTATCTAGTAATATATATGTATATATAGTCTGAGTAATGACACAATAGAATTACCTCATTCCATTTAATTCTACTCTCTCTCCCTCGTCTGGTGTTAGATCTGGTATGAGAGATAAATGATTAATCTGTACAGACGCCCAGCCAAACTGGAAAATGACAACAAATGGTGCATAGTATATAAATTGTGCCCAGTCTGCAGAATTTTCACACTCTATACACTTGTTAAAGACAAAAGGAAAACTTCCTATTACGCATAAAGTACCTGAAATATATAACACAATACATGTATTATACCTAAAGATAAAAATTTTCAAAAAATAAATTTTGTTGATGTTTTCAGTTTTTCTCTTGATTCTTCAATTCAAGTTGTATATGAGGAGATCAGAACTATATATATAAATAAATAATCATTAATTATGTAGGAATTTCATTCACTCAACGAAAAATTAGTTTGGTTTCACTCTATTTGGAAATCTTGTGATTTCCTCAGGTTTTTTCTTCTCTTGGTTTAGCAAAGTTTGTATAATACAAATAGATTTAACAGTTTAGATCATCTGTAAACTTCTGTCCCCTCTTATTTGCACATTTTCAGAAGTTTGATAATATAAATAAATCTTTAAAAAAAATACATTCAGTTTATTACACTTCAATTCTCTAATACAATCATAACATATGAACCTGAAAGTCTCCTACTCCTCATTTAAATCATCTTGGTTGATAAAAACAATGTATATATACTTGTACGATTCGCTCATGTATGTAACAACGTATTAGATTTTAGCGAGAGAAATTTATGTATTACTGAAAAATTATTACACCAGGGTTTTCGATATCATAAACTAGTCAAAACATTTACTAAATTTAATCATCGGTATAAGGACATCATTCGTAAATATAACTCAACATGCAGACATCTTATACGTTCGGGTATTTCACATCCAATCTTTTATGGTAATATTCTTTACAAAGCACAAAAATGTCAGTATTCACCTCAAAAGCTAACAAAACCTTTAAACAGACTTATTAAGAAGGGATATAGTTACGATACTGTTGTCAGGTCATTAAAGATTGCATATTTTGGCTTTAATATTGATTCACTTATAGGGTCTTTACATCGGAATTAAACACATTTATTCTAAAACCAGTTGTTGGCATGACACGGGTTATGTTCTTCTCATATATTTTATGACGGTATAATACTAAACCTCTAACAGGAGGGATTGTGCCTGATATTCATATGATGAAGACATAATCTTTCAATCAGTTTAATTGAGGTCTGGAGCTGGCATGTCAGTAACTGCTAGTAGTCTGTTGTTATTTATGTATTATTGTCATTTTGTTTATTTTCTTTTGTTTCCTATTCTGACATCGGACTCAGACTTCTCTTATACTGAGTTTTACTGTGCGTACTGTTGTGCGTTTGTTTTTTCTACATTGGCTAGATGTATAGGGGGAGGGTTGAGATCTCAAAAAACATGTTTAACCCCACCGCATTTTTGTGACTGTCCCAAGTCTCTGGAGCCTCTGGCCTTTGTTAGTCTTGTATCATTTTTAATTTTAGTTTCCTGTGTATAATTTGGAGTTTAGTATGGTGTCCATTATCACTGAACTAGTATACATATTTGTTAAGGGGCCAGCTGAAGGACGCCTCCGGGTGCGGGAGTTTCTCGCTGCATTGAAGACCCATTGGTGGCCTTCGGCTGTTGTCTGCTCTATGGTCGGGTTGTTGTCTCTTTGACACATTCCCCATTTCCATTCTCAATTTTGTATAGGTATAATCATGATAATGTAAATAACTAGAGGCTCTAAAGACCCTGTGTCGCTCACCTTGGTCTACATGGTCTATGTGCATATTAAACAAAGGACACACATGGATTCTGATGATGACAAAATTGTGTTTTGGTGATGGTGATGTGTTTGTAGATCTTACTTTACTGAACATTCTTGCTGCTTACAATTATTTCTATCTATAATGAACTTGGCCCAGTAGTTACAGTGGAAAATATTTTGTAAAAATTTACAAAAATTTACAAAATTTATGAAAATTGTAAAAAATTGACTATAAAGGGAAATAACTCCTTAAGGGGTCAATTGACAATTTTAGTCATGTTGACTTATTTGTAGAAATTACTTTGCTGTACATTATTGCTGTTTACAGTTTATCTCTATCTATAATAATATTCAAGATAATAACCAAAAGCTGCAAAATTTTCTTAAAATTACCAATTCAGGGGCAGCAACCCAACAACGTGTTGCCTGATTGGTCTGAAAATTGCAGGGCAGATAGATCTAGACCTAATGAACAATTTTATTCTTGTCAGATTTGCTCTAAATGCTTTGGTTTCAGAGATATGAGCCAAAAACTGCATTTTACCCTATGTACTATTTTTTAGCCATGTCGGCCATCTTGGTTCGCGGGCGGGGTCATCGGACACATTTTTTAAACTAGATACCCTAATGATGATTGTTGACAATTTTGGTTAAATTTGTCTTAGTAGTTTCAGAGGAGAAGATTTTTGTAAAAGATTACAAAAATTTACGAAAAATGGTTAAAAATTGACTATAAAGGGCAATAACTCCTTAAAGGGTCAACTGACCATTTTGGTCAAGTTGACTTATTTGTAGATCTTACTTTGCTGAACATTATTGCTGTTTACAGTTTATCTCTATCTATAATAATATTCAAGATAATAACCAAAAAGGCAAAATTTCCTTAAAATTACCAATTCAGGGGCAGCAACCCAACAACGGGTTGTCTGATTCATCTGAAAATTTCAGGGCAGATAGATCTTGACCTGATAAACAATTTTTTCCCCAGTCAGATTTGCTCTAAATGCTTTGGTTTCAGAGATATAAGCCAAAATCTACATTTTACCCCTATGTTCTATTTTTAAACTAGATACCCCAATGATGATTGTGGCCAAGTAGTTTCAGAGGAGACGGACGACGGACGCCAAGTGATGAGAAAAGCTCACTTGGCCCTTTGGGCCAGGTGAGCTAAAAAAAGACCTTGGTATACATGTATTTCGATAAGACAGAAATCCAATGCCACAATTACCGTTGTCAAAAGACATCTAGAGATCAACATATATTCTTCAACAAGACAGTGTATATACACATGATACATGTACAATTTGTCAAGATCTAAATGGCCATGTAAAAAAAAAAGTTGTGAGTAAATTTGATAGAGACTTAACCAACAATCTTCCAAAAACAACAAATTCACCAAAAAAAACCCATCAAGATGTGACTAAAGTCAGCCACTTTACATGCATTATATTCTACTTAAGAAATAATTCTTGTGCCATTTTTTATGCTCATTTTAACATGGGTAGGCATTATATTTGTCAATATCTTTATACTGAGAGTTAGCTAGGTGTAAAATATTGACAATTATAATGCCTACCCATGTTAAAGTTAGCATAAAGCATGACATGATAGAATTATTTCGATTCTGATGGGAATAATTTTAGAACTTTTGTACTTTGAAGCGGACCTACAATACACATTCGAAAGGCAGCCATTTTGATTTGATGAACCAAAAACGTTATCGAAAATCAACAGTTGAACGATATAAAAATAAACATAAATATGTAAACTTACTTTTAGAATGATTTTATTTAATTTCCTAGCGAGCAACACCAACAAAACTGTCCATTTCGACCTCCGGCGTTGTTCAAAATACAACTGACGTTGCAATTTCAATTATGACGTCAATCACGTGCAGCCCATGTTTTATTGTAATTAGAACATGGCTTTGCTTCCAAAGCGAAAGAAGAATCATATTAGAATCTTTCCTAAACAGGACAGAATTTAAGCTTAGTTGTTCTTCATTTAAAACAAAGTTTATATTTTGCCACACCATGCACATGCCATGGCATAATTGGCAGATATTCAGTTTGTTGTCTCATAACAAGAGGCTCATGAGAGCCTGATATCGCTCACCTGTAATTTCAGTTTCAGGCATTTGACTTATTTGTAGATCTTACTTTGCTGAACAATTTTGTCATTTACACTTTCTCTATTTCTATAATAATATTAAAGATAATACATAACCCAAAACTGTAAAATTTCCTAAAAACTAACTATTTCTGGACAGTAACCCAACAATAAGTTGTCCTATTGGTCTGAAGATTACTTGACAGGTAGATCTAAACCTGTTTAACACTTTCACCTATGTAAGTTTTGCTCTTACTGCTTTAGTTTTTGAGATTACAGCCAAAAACTTCATTTGACACCTATGTTCTATTTTTAGAAACTGCCGCCATGTTTTTGAATGGATCAAATCCCAGAATACAATCTATAAACTAGATAACCTAAGGAACATTCAATTAAAGTTTCGGGTAAAACACAATAAAGGGAACAGTAAGGTTGTGCTTGAGGTCAAAAATAAAGGTCAACACAATAGAAAAAAAATTGTGATCTTGAAAAAGTAATGCTTGAAATTTGTAAAACTCATTTGGTTAGTGGAAAAATCAATGAGAAATGTTTTATTTTCTACTTTTTATGGGGTAAGGTAAGTGATGGTTACGGACACTACTTGTAAAATTAACCTCTAGAAATTTATGTCTTTAATGAACTATCCCAAGTCTTTTTGCAGAATTATAATTCCAATGCAATTTTATTTACAAAATACCAACCAAAAAAATAAGGAATAAAGTTTAACTTTAACATTCTGCAAAATTATACCTCCTTTCTTAATTAGTAGAAAAGGATTATTGTAAGAACAGCACCACTCTTAAAATGAAAGACTATATACATGTAGCCCATCAAAACTATTAAAAGTTGACCTTCTATTCACATGGGAATATAAATCACAGCAGAAAATGTATTCCTTACATAAATGGTATCTAAAATAAACTCAGTAAGTTATTTGAGTTACAGACACTACATTGATCTTATGTTTATAATTTACTCAATATGAATAACTTTTCATGGGCATGATGGGTAACATATTAAGTTTGTGTATTTTCTTTTTACTGTTTACATTTTTAACAACAGAATGATGCATGATTGTAAATAAATACATGTAATTAAAGTTATTTCCAATGTAAACATACATGACATGTTGACATGGATGGGACAAAGTATATCATTTCAAATCTGAAGTAAAACCTTAAACATATCTAAACAAAGTAGGTGCTATGCACTTAAACATGTTAAAGGAATGATAAAACACATATATATCTGAAAAGAAAATCCTTCGAATTGCATTAGTTAATTAGAAAAAAAGAAATGCTGATGGTTACGGACACTACACAC